GGCCTCCCAGAAATTAGGGCAACAAATCCTTCCTTGGAGGGGGTCTGGCCAGCAATCCTCATGTCTCCCACAGTCCACTCCTTGTACCACTCAGATCTCCTTTCTAAGGATTCTGGTGGGTCTTTCTGAGAAATACTAGTGGGACAAACTATAGTCCCCTGTGTTGTAGCTGCAAATGGTCCGTCCACTACCCCTCGGCTAGCACCTCTTTTGGTTTTAGTGGCTCACCTGGTGGCATGACCCAGACCCTTGTCCCTGAGGGCTCTGGGCTCCTGGTCACATGCCCGTCTCAGGACAGAGTTGCTGCACCTGCCCTTTACCATTACATTTGGGTAAAGGAGAACCCAGAGACATCCAAGTGGATCACCTGGGTGCCAAACATGGTCTGCCTGTCCCCATTTTGTAAGAGCAGCCCTACCTCCCCTGGTGATCAGGACCAGTTTCTCCTGCCAGGACAGTGACTCCTCTTCATGCCTGCGAGTCTCCAGAAATAGGAACTCAAAGTACTCAGGCTGGGCTTCCCTGGTGGTGCAGTGGTTGAGAGTCTGCCTGCCGATGCAGGGGACGTGGGTTCGTGCTGCAGTCCGGGAAGATCCCACGTGCCGCGGAGCAGCTGGGCCCGTGAGCCATGGCCGCTGAGCCTGCGCGTCCGGAGCCTATGCTCCGCAACGGGAGTGGCCACGACAGTGAGAGGCCCATGTACCGCCCAAAAAAAAAAAAAAAAAAAAAAAGTACTCAGGCTGCACTCTTAGCTTGACAGGACTCTTGCTGTGTTCTCTGGTTCCAGTTACTGCTGCTTCCACCCCTTTGTTCCTGAATCCATTTCTAATTAGAGACACAACAGCTTGTAAAGGTCTTTGATTCAAGGTATTGAATGCATACTTGAGAATGACACCCCATCCTTGCAGAGTACTGCCTCTGAGCTGGCATTTGCCTGTGCCTTCAGTGGGCTGTTGTAGTGTTCTATCAGGCCAGTAGCCTCTTTTTTTAAAAAATATTTTGTGTGTGTGTGTGTGTGGACCAATTTTAAAGTCTTTATTGAATTTGTAACAATATTGCTTCTGTTTTATGTTTTGGTTTTTTGGCCCCAAGGCATGTGGGATCTTAGCTCCCTGACCAGGGATCAAACCCTCACCCCCTGCATTGGAAGGCGAAGTCTTAAACACTGGACTGCCAGGGAAGTCCCTCAGGCCAGTAGCTTCTCGCTGGTGACATATGTGATATAACCAGTGAATCCCATGGTCATGAGCATGATCCTGCGCCTGTTTTGCTGTAAAATGGGACCACTGGTCTAATGCAATGTTATATGGGATCCCATACTAGTAGATTAAACACTCTGTAAGATGTATGGTGCTAGCTGAGGCCCTCCAGGCAGGAAAGGCACACACACCTGGAGTGTGTGTCCATTCCTGCCAGAAGGAATCTCCGGCCCTGCCAGGCTGGGAGGGGCCCAGTGAAGTCAACTTGCCATCAACTAGCCGGAGGGCCTCCTTAAGAATTGGAGCTATATTGGGGGCTCAGTGTTGGTCTTTATTGTTGGCATTTGGATATTCAAAGGAGGCAAGTGACTGTAATTATGATGATGTACCTTGGGCAATGTTCCCTGTCTGGGGCTTGGGCTATTATACAAGTTAATCTTTGTTAGCAAAGTGGAATTTGCTGCTTTGTATCCGAAGAGGCTTTAAGTTTGAGGGGCATCTACCACAGTGTTTTAAAAATGACTGCACATCAGTGTTCACAGCCTTGAGTGCCTATTCAGTCACCTGGAATGGAGGTGCCTAGGCTTTACCTCCTAGAAGTTCTGATTCAATTGGTTTGGGCACCAGTGGTTTATGAAAGTTCCCTTTGGTGATTCTAATGTGCAACCAGGGTTGAGAACCATTGTATTAGTGGATAGAGAAATCGAGTGAGGTCTCGATTGGCATTTTCTTTCCTTACAAAATAGAAAATGTCACCGTATAGCTAATATAGAAAGGATAATATTGTTTTTGAAACTTCTTTTTCGTGTGTGTGTGGGGAGGGGCTACTAGGTTGTGATGTAAGATGTATTGCCATCAAAAGAGCTTGAAAAGCCCCTGGTCCAAAGTAGTGCTTGTCAAACTTCAGTGTATGTAAGAGTAACCCTGCAAAGACCAGGAAAACCAAAAGCACATTTTTACCGGGCACCTTCTGGGAGTAAGACGTGACCTGGGGCCAGTCTTGTGCCAATGGCATTGGATGGGAGAGCACCAAGTAAAGAGGCAGCAGAGATGGGACAACGCTGGGGGAGGCTGTTTGGTGGTGGCTAGATACAGAGCCTACAGTGCAGAGCTGGGGGGATCCTGGCTCTGCCAGTGACCGTGGGATGGTCACCCAGAGTCCCTCTGAGTCGCTTTATTAGCAAAAGGGGAACAATAGCCTACACCGTTCCTATTTCAAAATCCAAAAAGGATGATGTGGTTTCTGGAAAAGCACTTTGGAAGTGGTAAGGACTCTGTACACATAGAGGTTATCATTACTACATGGAACCATCAGAACTGAAGTTTATATTGTTGCCATTAAAATTTGGGGATGCGGTGGGATTTAGATTGGGTGGGGAGGGCCTTTGGGCAGATAGTCAGGCCCAAGCAAAGCAGGACTTCGGGAGATGTACTTCAGGGAGAGTGAAGAGACCCTGGTAGGTGGAGCTGAGGGAGGGAGTTGGTAAGAGTGTACTGGGGCCAGATTTGGAGGGCTGTTGGAGCCTGCCAATGAGTGGGTCTTATTGGAGCAGACAATAGGGAACCATTGCAGGTTGCTGAGTAGGGGAGACATCTGAAGGAAGTGGAGAGGTAGGAAAAGTGATTCGCAGCCTCCTGAAGTTGTTTTAATTGGTAATGATAGGACTTTTCTAAGTGCAGTCAAACACTACTGCCTCCTAAAGCGGTTCTTGACCCCCTCTGGAGAGACTTACTTCCTCCAATGAGCTCTCACGGCTACCTCTGGCTACACTGTATCTATTTGGCAGCTGTGGTACCGGCTCAAGCCTTCCTAGAAACTTCTCATTTCCTCCCTGGTTTCCCCAGCCCACACAGGTCTCTCCCTTCTTGGGGTTCCTGGGTTATGAGCCCCATGTATAGAGCTCAGTTCATGGAAGGTAGTGGTTCTCTGTCCTGGCTGTTCATTAGAATCACCTGGAATTTGTTTTTTTAAAACCTCTTCATGCCCAGGTTGTATCCCACATCAATGGCACTGTCACCTCTGGGGTGGGACTCAGGCATTGGGATTGTTTTTAAACATCACAGATAATTTCAATGTGAAGACAGGTGTTTTGTTTTGTTTTGTTTTTTTTTGCGGTACGCAGGCCTCTCACTGTTGTGGCCTCTCCCATTGCGGAGCAGAGGCTCCGGACGCGCAGGCTCAGTGGCCATGGCTCACGGGCCCAGCCGCTCCGCAGCATATGGGATCCTCCTGGACTGGGGCACGAACCCGTGTCCCCCGCATTGGCAGGCGGACTCTCAACCACTGCGCCACCAGGGAAGCCCCTGCAGACAGTTTTGAGATCCACAGACCACCTCTGAAAATTGGGCATCCTGCCTTGGGATTACCCCTTCAATGTATGCACTATACCCACCTGCAGCAAGAGTGTAGGAAGAAAGTATTAGGATTTCAGTTTATATTTATTTGAAATCCTGTTCTTTTCTAATGTATATGCTTTACAATATAGTACTTAATGTAGTGGAGCAGTAGCAATGACAGTGACTACTGAGAACATATTGCGGCCTCATCTAAGGCTCTCATCTAAGCACTTTACACTAAGCACTTAGTGCTTCACAAAAACTTAATGAAGTGGGTACTGTTATTATCCGCATTTTACAGATGAAGGAACTGAGGCCAGAGAGGTTGAGTAACTGGCCCATCACACCACCAGAAGGCAGCCGTGCCGGATTCCAACCCAGGCTGGCTCTAGCATCCACCTTTTACCCACAATGCCAATCTGCTCTCATAGCACACATGTATAATTTATAAACAAACAACTAAATAATACACAAATAAGGTACAGGTATCAGGGGTCCTGCTCAACATGTTTTACTGATAAGTTTTCGTAATCAAATAGTTAAACCGTGGTGGCAGAAGATGAGCCCTTGAGGCAAGGTCTAAGTCTCAATCTTTCTGTTCCCCCACCCAGGGGCTAGTGAGCATCTAGATCTATATATGCTTAATAAATATCTGCTCCCAGAAACATCTACTGCTTGATAATCATAACAAATGGTTATCAACACTTGCCATGTGCCAGAGACTCTTATTCTTAATCTTCACAGCAATCCTGAAGGTAACTGCCATGTTTGGCCCCATTTTGCTGATGAAGAGACTGAGCAGCTCTGGAACTTGCCAGAGTCTGACTCAAGTTGTGGGATTGCCGAGCTTATTCTCTTCCACTGGTGAACAGGTCCACAGGGAGCAGCTTATGAAGGTGGGCGGGGGTGGGGGGTGAAAACACTGGGAAAGAGGCAGAGGTTTATCGTTCACTCCTTTGCCAGGTGCCCTTCCTTATTTGCCTGACAGGTAAACTCCTACCTACACTTCTTGCCCCAGTTCAAAGGCCACCTCCTCTAGGAAGCCTGCCTTCCTTCACGTTGCAGTTAGTTGCACTTGCCCTGTGGTTCATGTGTTGTCTTCCCCACTGGGAGGTTCCACACTGGAACAGGAGCTGGAGTTCCTTGAGCACAGGGCTGGGTCCTACTGAAGGGGCATCCGCTGAGCGGGCTCAGCAAACTCATACGGGTGGGCTGAGCCTGTGCCACTCAGGCCAGAGGCGCTCCCACCCCGTAGGTTTTTCCTCCTCCTCTTCTTCTCCCTTCTCTTTGCTTTCCTTCTTCCTCCGCACTCGTCTCCTCCCTCCCTGCCCTGTGGTCCACCCGGTCCTATCTTCGTTCTTCTCCCGCCCTCTTTCTCCCGCTCCTTGCGCCGCCCAGGGTCCGGAAGCTGCAGTTCCCCCAGAGGCCTACAGAGGGAGCTGCTGCGCCACCTGCGGGGCCGTACGGCTGCGGCGCGTGCTTCCTGTGAGGTCAGGTGGGAGGAAGCGGCCTGGGAGCCGCGGGGACTGGACGCCGTCGCCCGTAGGTGAGTGTCCGGGCCCTGGGCGCGGGGGAACGAGGGCGCATCCCTCCCCTACCCCGGGCCTGGTCTTGGAGTCGGGCTCCGCGGCCCGGGCAGCGGCCTGTCCCACCGCGGCAGCAAGCCCAGCCCATCCCCGTTCCCCGCCCCCATCCCCCCTTAGTGTCAGGTGCAGGGAGGGCCCGCCGCACCCTCAGCCCACCCAGCGAGGCGGGATAACAAAGCACAAAAGGACTGCGGAGGACCCTTTGGACACGCTTGGCCTTCTGCAAGGGCCAGCAGGCTTCAAAATGGGGACCCGCCAGCCCAGGCCACGGGCGTGAGAACAAGGGCTCTTAATCTCTTTTGGCGTGTGCGTCACGAGTGCTTTTGAGAATTTAGACGAAAACTGGCTCATCTTCTGAGAAAAATGATGGCCTTTACCCAGATTCGGGAGAGGCGTGGAAAGGCCCCCATTTCCAGCCCGTGGACCCCCTTGTGGTCTGTGAGTGGGGCCTCCGCAGCATCCCTCAAACCGTATTTCGGGAAGGCTGGCCGCGCCCGCCTGGTGTTACCTGAGAGGTGGGGGACAAGTGAGAGTATGCCCTCTGCAGGAAAGTAGCTCTCCCCGATCTCCTGCGGGGAGAAGGCCTGAGTCCTTAGCATCTCCCTGGACCATTTTTTAACGGAAGGGAAATGGAGACACTGGGAATCCTGGTGTCCTGGACTCCCTACTAGGGCCAGAGTTCCTGGCTTCGTGCTCGTTCTCTGCTGCCCATGGATGAATGGTCCCGGGTGAGTGAAGTAAGCCCCTCTGGGTCCCTAGCTGTATCTGCCCCGGAGGAGTGTTGGGAGGTGTAAGTGAGATGAGCCTGGGTGGACTTTCCACAGGGCCTGGGCCCCAGCAAGGGTTGTCATCCCTATTGTTGCTGGAGGTGGTGGTTAATAATAAAACTTCCTTCTCCAAGAATCTTTCTGATAGTTTTCCTAATGGACTCAAAGTCTGAAAGATTTTTGTTTGGCAAACAACTTGTATTTATTTCTCTCCTTTTTATTAGTCAGACACACTGCCTACTCAGCATGGGTCACCAGTGTGAGCACCCAGAATTGCAGTTTCTCCCACTGAAAGCAAGCATCTCTTTAAGTTTGGTAAATTTTTTCCTTCAGGTGTTTCGAGGTCTGGGGAAAGGTGCAGCCCAGCTGGAACCCATAGCTCCTGGAAGGATGGTTCGGATCTTGGCCAATGGGGAAATTGTGCAGGACGATGACCCCCGTGTGAGGAACACTACCCAACCACGCAGCAGCACCCCTCGACAGGTAGTCGCCCCGCCCCTGTGGAGGGGAGCAGCTGGCCTCCCGTCCTCTGTACCAGTTACTCCTTAGCTCCCAGAAGCTCCCTTTCTGGTGATTAACCTTCTCTAGCCCTAAGTCCTCTTTGCAGAGAGCCAGGCTGAGCAGCATGGGGGTTTAAGACTTGGGGAAAACCCCAATAGATTTGTTGCCCAGCCTCCTGCCTCCCCAGCTCTCCTTTCTCCAGGCAGCCTTCCCAGACTTTAAACCCAAGAGCTCTCTCTCCCTTAACCTGGTCAGCAACCCCCACTGGAGCCAGCATCTTTTAGAGTCTGTTGGATGAGGGGGAAGCTGGAGAGTAAGTGGAGAAGAGGAACCCACGGCCACACAATGATGAGTTTAAAGGAAGGAGTGAGGAGTGTTAAAAATGCCTGCTCAGATGCTGTGCCCTGGGTGTAGTCCCACCCTCCTTGCCCCCTTCCTCTTCTCTGTCCTGGGCAGCTTCTCCCTGACGTGACATCGGGAACCTGGACTGGCATTTTCTGTGCTCTGAGAGCTTGCGACTCAGTGGTTGGGATCCCCATGGGTGGCATGTGAGGATTGCTGAGAAAGGAGGGCATGGCCCTGGGTGGCCGTAGGGGAGAGCAGGGCCCCACCCAGAGGGTTCCCTCCTGCCTCTGGTGCCTCAACTCCAGCGAAGCTCTCTCTGGATTCATTCGTCTCTCTCTGTCTTCACCTTCCAGAGCTTTCTCAATAGGGGCCATGGCGCCCCGCTGGGGGGTCCCGGCCCTCGCCAGCAGCAGGCGGGCGCCAGGCTGGGTGCCGCTCAGTCCCCCTTCAGTGACCTCAACCGGCAGCTGTTGAACATGGGCTTCCCCCAGTGGCATCTGGGCAACCACGCCGTGGAGCCGGTGACCTCCATCCTGCTCGTCTTCCTGCTCATGCTGCTTGGTGTGCGTGGACTCCTGCTGGTGGGCCTCGTCTACCTGGTGTCCCACCTGAGCCAGCGGTGACCTCCGGGGGCTGCTGGAGCAGGTGTGTGGGAGAGGGAGCTGCTGGGCCTCGGTGTGAGAGCGGGCACCTGGGGAGGAGCTTCACTGGTGCCTTGAACGTGTGCTCAGAGAGCATGTTTCCATGTTGTGTTAAGCATGAGGCAGAGGGAGCCTCTAGTCCAACGTTCCCAAAGGATCAGGTGATACCCTCATTCCCTGGAGATGCATTTCGGTCGTATCAGGCGTTAAGCACAAAGTCAGAGCGAGAAAGGGATTCCCTTTCCAATTCTCACCCAACCCTTTTATGCCACGAAGAAAGTCTGCTGTGTGCCAATATGTTCTTGTGCGTCTGGAACACGGGCTGACTTCCCCGTTACTAGGGAGTAGGCCTCGAGCTTAGGGCAGGTGGGAAAGGTTTCTAGACTTTTATAGCTCTGTTTTGTTTTAATGGGATATTTTTATTGGCTACCTTTTATTTACGACAGGTGGTACTGGTATTCTCCTTATTGTGGTGGCGTTTTCAATAAAGAAATTTAAGTAAAAGTGAGTCCATGTAAAGACATTCGTAAATAATTGTACAACTGCATGTAGATCTGGAAGACGTGGTGAAAGTGGTTCGGGATTGGGGACCAGGTAGAAGGGGGCATTTGACCTTGGAGGGTGGTTTCTAACCTCTTCCTGATGGGCTCTGAGAGCAGGGGCAGGGGGCCAGGTGAAGCCTGTACTTGGGCCCCTCGACCGATGCCTGGATAACTCTGGCTTACTCTGAGATGTTGGCCTTGTCCGGGGTGGTGTGGGAGAGATTCTCTGACCAGAAGGGCCAATGAGGCTGTGGGGTCAGGACAGCCGGGGTGCTGGCCTCCCCTCCGAGGGTCTCTGACCAGAGGCTGCTCAACCTCGCTCAGTCTCCTGAGGCTCTCATAGCCTCTAACCTCGGCACACTCTCCTTAAAAAGCAGGAGTCTTGGCGCTGACTACTCCGTGCACATGGGCTGAGGGTGCCCTGCTTTCTGTGAGTGGAGGCCTTGAGTTATGGCTGGTTGAGCCCTGGGTCTGTGTGGAGGCCCTGCTGGGCGGCGGGGTGTGGCATCGGATGGCTGAGGGCTCTGGGCCTACAGTGCTGACCGTTCAAGGTCAGGGAGAGGCTGCGTGAGCTGGAGGGCTTCCCCGGCTCAGGGACCAGATTTCTCACCTCACCTTCCTCTTAAGATCCTTCTGGGTCTGGTGGTTTGGGGGAAGAAGGCAGGTTTTAGAGGTGCTTCTTGAAAGCCGGGGCCAGGGCAGCAAACCATCATGGGGTGTATGTGGGGGGAGGATGGGGGAGAGAGATGGAGGTTGATTCCATCCCTCCGGAGAGCCTGCGGTGCTCCGGGGGAACAGAACCCTCTTCCCCCGCCCTTGTGCCCACCGCTGCCCTTGAGTGGGCTGGCGGCCTTTATCATAGACATTCCCGGGGAAGCTTTATACTGTTCAGATAGGACTCCTATCTCAGGGTTTTCTGTGTCTTTATTTCTACAGAACAGGGAAGGGAGGGTCTGGCTCCCGGCGGCTCCTCTGGGGCCTGGGCAGGGGAGGTGGTGCCCAGGCCTGGTTGGTATCCCAGCTGTTCCCCGTGGCATCTCCTTCTGCCCAGCACATCCCCCAGCCCCCAGGCTCCTGTGGCTCTAGCCCAGCAGCCGTGGGGGAAGGGATGATCCTCCACAGCACTCCCTCTCCTGACACCCCCCTTCAGTGCATCTCTCTGCGGCTGGGCTTTCCCTTTCTTTTTGCCTTGCAAAGCTGTGGGACTTTCTGAAGAAATAAATCTTAAGTGGACCCTCAATATATAAAATTCCTTGAAGAGGTATGAATCTGAGTCCACAGATTCAGGGCTGAGAACTGTGTCTTTTTCCATAATTCAGTTTCCATTCCCAAAGCCTGAGGCCTTTGAGGAGAATTGAGGGTGCTTTAGAGAAGGCAGGGCTTTCCTTCCTGCTTCTGACTAGGAGACAGACTGGGGCAGGCCCTGGGGGGCAGGAGGAGCCCTGGGCACCGCCACAGGGGCTTGTTACAGCCTGAGGGAAGCAGCTGGGGGCTCGGGCGAAGTGAGTTGTTCAAGAAAGAGGTGCTTTTTGTTGACTGAGCTCAACACCCCTGACATAGACCCAACAGAGCTGCGCCGGTTGAGGTGGCCCGGGGCGAGGGCCCAGGGGCCCACCTCTCGACCCTCCTTTCCTCAACCGACCTTCCCCATGCCCCCTCGGGCTCTGGGCAGTTTGCTAAGCAATGCTCTGCCTCACTTCTCAAGGTCCAGGGTCCGAAAGTCTGCCTCGGCAGAAGCAGCGTGCTGAGGGAAGGCGCCCCCTGGGGTTGTGCAGCCTGTGGAGCTGCTATAAGCTGTCTGGGGGCCGCGTCTCCACCTCTTGTGTGAATGCCCTTCGGTGGGCTCTCGCCCGCCTGCGCTCAGAAATCATGGTGCAGGCATGTTCTGAGCAGGTAGAGGCTTGTTGCCTGGCTGGGTGGCCAGATGCAGAGCCCAACGGGCCCCTGAGAGAGGCCAAGGGCCACCTTGGCCTAGTGTGCATCCTAGCTGGAGGCTTGCTGAGGAGGGTGGGCCCTGCCTCCTCTGCCCGCCCCTCCCCCCCTACCTGCTGCGTGACGGGACCCCCCAGACTGGGCCACCTTGGGGGCAGATTTCAAGGGAGGTTTCTGCTAATCTCTAGGGCTAATCCTCGGAGCCCTGTGTCTCCGTGTCAGGTTGGATTTGCGGCCTGGCTGCCTCGTGAGCCACAGCGGGGTTCACACCAGGCCTCCGCCGCCTCCATGGGGCTGGAAATAACTCCCACCCCCCATGGGGTTGTTTGACTCCCTGGTTGGGACCACCTGGTGAGGAGCTGCTGGGGTCCGACTGTGTGTTGCTACTCCATCTCCCAGGACGAGCGGCCTCCTGGGCCCTTCCTTCCACAAGTTCCAAGCCCTTTGCTTTGCACGCCCTACCCCTCCCCGCCCTCCAGCTAGCCTGCCGGTGGGGACCACAGTTCCATATCCCCAGAAGAGACGCTGCGCCTGAGAGAGAGCTACATGATTTGCTGCCTCCAGGGCTCTTCCTGGGCCTTTTGGCAGAGGCAGGGACTTGGGCTCCCTGACTGGGGACTCTGGCTCTGTGAGTTGAGGAAAAACCCTGGTGTGGTGGTCAGAGCCTCTGCCCAAGGACACCTGACCTTGAGAGCAGAGAAGGCCTCCCAACCCTGGCCGGCTGGACCCTGGAGGAAGCTTGCAGGCCCTGTTCTCCTTTGTGGGTCCATGACCTTGGACAGCTCACTCAGTCTCTAGGGCCTTGTTCCTCATCTCTAAGGAGGGGTGATGGTCCCTCTGGGTCCCTCCTGCCGTCCGGAGCCTCAGGGATCACCCTCAGTGCAGTGGGTGAGGGAGATGGACAGCGGGCATGGGGAGGACTGCTCCAGCTCCGGCACCTCCTCCTCGGATGCTCTGCCTTGGACCACAGCTCCTGTGCTGTGGGCTTAGCCAGAGCAGCCGCCATGTCCCAAGCTCCTAGGACCCCCAGCTGGGGTCGTGCTGGGCTTCTAAGACCAGTGTCACCATCCACCCACCTTCTCCCATTGGAGAAGAAATGCAGCTGCTTCTCTCACCCCTGGAAGCTGAGGGGCTTGTTGCAGGTCTCGAGTGTCAGGACAGGAGGAATTTGCCAAGTGTGCTGTGTGTCTGACACTATGCTAAGCACTTGGTGTCATTTAATTGTCACTAGAACTTTATGATCGAGGTACAATCACTGTCATCCTCATTTCACTGCTGAGCACACTGTAGAGCATTTATAACTCGCCCCCAGGACTCCCGCACCCCTCCCACCCCCAGGTGAGTAGGGGGTGGAGCTAGGATGCAGACTGAGGCCAAGCCCACATGTTCGACCACGCCTCTGTTCACCTTTGGTATATGTCAGCATCACCTCCAGACTTGTTTCAGGTGCAGATTCCCAGGCCTCACCATAGAGTTTCTCAGAAGCGCTGAGGGATGTGCTCCAGAGCCTGCCTCTTACAAAGCCCTCCAAGTGATTCTGATGGAGGGTTGTGAGTGAGGGGTAGTTCATCTCCTGACTGTGCAGAGGGTGCCTGTGGCCCAGAGAGAGGAGAGAAACAGGGCAGGAACAGGCCTCACTACCTGCTGGGACCCATTGTGACCACTAGATCAGCTCTGTGAGGGCGGAGGGCACAGGGTGGGTGTGAGGATGCTGGCTGCAGCTGCCCGGCTAGGTGGCCTCCCTAGCTTCCCAGCTCTGGGCCACAGCCATTGAATAGGGTGCAGCCCTCTTCCCTGCTTTCCTGAATGCATGACGTTTCACAGCAAAATGGCAAGGGGAGAAATCCAGTTACCTCATGTAGGGTCCCTGAAGGATGGTACAGGTGAGGGTGAGGGAGGCAGAGGGCTTTTCCGCCAAAACTAGATGGAGAGAGAAGCCTGCAACCTGTCTAGCAGGGCACGACGGTGGGAGAAGCAGAGCTTAGCCCTCCTTGTGCTGCTGCCTGGGACCCTACAGAGCGAGAAAGTTCAGGAAGCAGATGGAGTGCTTCAGTGGAATTGCAGAGGGCGTGTGTGTGTGTGTGTGTGTGTGTGTGTGTGTGTGTGT